CACTGGATTGTCTACTGGAAGGCTTCCTCTTCAGTACTGACTGAATAATTACATTTTACAGATTTTTTTAGAAACGCAGGGATTTATCATGTTGGTCAAAAACAGCTGAAAAGACTGTGGCCCCGTGTCTAAATGTCCTTATTGTCACAGTGTTGATGGCTGAGCTAACGTTGACTGAGGTAAGGTTCGTCTCAGAGCTCTGCTCCACGGTTCCACACAGAGTGAGGATTGATTATGGAAATGACACCGAGGATTTTTCAGCTCTGCCTGTCTTTTTGCTGACTTCCAAACTATAGTTCAAAACTTGTAATGGAAAGCAACTTTCAGAGTCGATAAGATGCCTGTATATAAAGAGAATAATTATCTACACACTTTGACAAAAAGGCTGTGATCACAGACAGAAGGAGGAGAGTCTGTAGACTCAGTCTGTAGACTCAGTCTGTAGACTCAGTCTGTAGACTCAGTCTGCAGACTCAGTCTGCAGACTCAGTCTGCATGAGAAACAGCCACGGTGAAATGGATCACTGCGGTCTCCTGGGCCGACTCGTGTGTAATTAAAGCTACAGTTCAAGGTGATCACATGAGTTTGGACTTAAAAGTGGTTTATCATCACTTCCAGGCTGCACTTCCTGCAGCTCCTGCCCTTTGGGCCTAATTAAACTTCATGTTGAATCTTCTTGAATTTGCTGCATGCAGCACAACTGCACCGTACTGTAAGGAACAGTGGCCGCAATGAATGTATTTGTGGCCGTGTCAAGACTGCAGTCCCCAAATCTACTCTTCATTTATGAAACACACACAACTATTTTGGACTGATCCAAATGATGGAATTAATGTCAAGAAAATGATACACACTGACACAGACTGACTGTTGAAGCCTGAGTATCTGCTACTGTGAGTGAATGGACTGTGAAATAATTGGATATACAGTGTGTGTATCGCTCTGCCCAGGCATTAAAGGGCATTAAACATTTGAGTCAGATTGATCCTAACAAATGAATTAACGCGACTTATTAAGCCTTGAAAAGTTCTAAATCCAACTAATGAGGGCTGTGACCTTCACTGACTGCATTTCTTCTGTTTTTTACCCTGGGTTAATAGATGGAGAATCACTCTTTTCGTTCTTAATGCTAACAGTAATTGCCCATTTACAGTTTGTTCTGTGGCTTCAGGCAGCTTCCCAAAAACCCTGACCTTGATTTGTCACTGTCTTTGCTCTAGTTTTAAATAAAGATCTGTTTCTTGTGTGATTTCCTGCTACAGTAGAGCAGATAGTGCTGTGTCATTGTTCCTGCCGATGATTAATGTTGGACGTAAAGACGGTGGATCTTTAAGTGAGCTGTGTTTTTTTTTTATAGATCGCCTCCAACAATTCACAGATCTTTAAATATATGATGAGTCTGTGACTAACTTTCTGTTCAGTGCTGCTGCAGCCAAAAGGCCCGTCCACAGTGTAAAACACACTCTTTATGGATCTGACACTGCACTGTTTGTTCAAGGAGACAGGGTTTGGACCTCAGATGTTTTAAGGCCCCGAGAACCAGAATCTGTTTCTGTTCATCCTGCACTGAAAGACTCAGCAGTCGACAACATCAACTCACAGATTTTGGCCAAAGGTCCAGATTTTTTAATGGCCTTCAGTGTGGAGGAGCCAGCACTTTACAAAGTGGTAGGAAATTGAGTTTCCAGGAACAACAGGCTGGTTTCTGGCCAGGTTAAACAGCAAACATACTCAGCCATTGTTGCAGGTGTCAGTTTTATTTTGGGTGAAACTGTTAAGAACAGGACAAGCTGGCAGTGTTCTTTTAAACTGTCCTGGTGTTCCATGATGTGGTTAAAGTCATCTGTAGTTCACTGAGGAGCTCCAGGATGTGTGTTGGAGATATGGGATCCTTATAATTCTCTGTTGTTACGCTCACTTCACACATATACTGTATATATATATATTTTTTTCTCTCTATTCGTCTTCCTCCCTTCATTTGCCTGATGATGCTGTGGTAATACCATTCATTTGCCTGATGATGCTGTGGTAATAGAATGTGTTTATTTTCCTCCAAATGCTCATGAGCGTTCACGGGTGTTCTGTGGAGAGGCTGCTGAAAAGTATGGATCGATAAAGGTGATAAAGCATTTATTTTAACACAGAGAACGCCGGTGCATTCTGGACTGAGTCACACTGAATGGGCTCTGCTAGGAGCTGTAGTATTTGGACTGAGTCACACTCAATGGGCTCTGCTAGGAGCTGTAGTATTTTTTTTATTAATATATTTACAAATGTGGCTTTTAATATCCTGTAGACCAGTGTTTCCGAAGCTTTTTTTCTGGAGACCCATATTTTCAAAGTCACAAACGTTAACGACCCAAGTCAATAGATTTTATTCAAAAATTCCTGGGAAACAAGATGTGAGACGACCAAAAAAAAAAATCTCTTGCGACCCACCTGAGGGTCGCCATCCAGTCTTTGGGAAACAGTGCTGTAGATCATCTATAGCTCCTATTTATTTTTTATAATGTATGTCTCTACTATCTTCTCAGTCTTTGAACCGTATCCACTCTGTTTAAACTGCTCTTAAACTGAGGTATTTTGGTGGAATTTCTTTTGTGGTTGTTTTTTTTTTTCTGTATAAAAAAATGAATGAAAATGAAGCTCCTGCCAAACATTACACCTGCTGATAAAAGATGAGTCAGATATACTGTATAAAGCCCAGCGCTCTTTGAGGGAGTTTAAGGCTTATTGTACAGAGCAAAAAGATCATAAACGTCTCTGACTACATTCTATCCTAAATCCTCCAGATATTACAGTTCAAGGAGATGTTCAGTAAACATCTGTAGCCTGTTTCATAGCCATAATTATACTTGCCTTACAGACCCAGGTACTTCCCTCGGCAAAGGCTCATAATTGGTTTTTAGACAGTGTGCAGATCCTCATCTGTAACTGTATCGTTTGGCTGCAGTGCAAAGTGCTGAACTCAGCAGATGGACTGATGCTGGTTCTTGGCACCTTCTCACCGCCTGCGTGTGAGAGCAGCTGAACATGCCTCATATGACAAGTGCAGGAGGAACGTGCTTGTTTTCCTCCTCAGACTTACGCTTCCTTTACATTTCTAAATGTAAGTCCACCTGCGGGCGCTGAGATCAGAGTTCCATTTGATTGGAAAAGAATTGCAGTCATTGATCCCAGCACCGTGTTTCATGAGAAAATTAACCTCACTTGTCTCAGTGGATTGTGTACTAATGAGTGGAGGGAACAAAACAAACAAAAAAAACTGTAAACATTTTTTTAAAATATTGCTCTGTTTATTTTACATTTCAATCAATACATTTTGAAATAAAGTAAATAACAGTAATAGTCATAATTCTAGGTTAATATAACAGATCAAACTGAGTGAAATTGGAGTATTCCATATGTAGTTTTTTTTTTGGAGACACTTGAATGTAATGTAATCAGAAGCATGAGCATTACAGCACACGCAGCAGCTGAATTAAACCCAGACAGAAGAGGCTGATTACTTTGCTGTTACTAATCAAGACTGAAGAAAGACGAGTCTGACCAGTGCAGATTAGGTCAGAGGTCGTTGATGAGCCAGTCCTGATTAAACCAAATCATCTCCATCTCTGAGAGGTTCCATTTGTTATGCCACTTCATATTTCCTTCCCACCGTTACGATGCTTTGCAGCATATGTTGTCTTTAAGAATGAAGGCCCATTTACAGCAAGCTTTTTGAACCTCCTTCAGGTTTATGGTTATCAGGGATCGTAGACTCAAATGAACTCGGGGGACGTGGCTGCAGCTGTCATTTCATTTCATTTCATATTAGTGTGGAAAATGAAAATTTTAGCAAATAAGTATCCCACATGGGATAGATACTGTATGAGATGGAGAGCTGGGAACGTCCAACAGGAACCTGCCGATGGTAGATCAGTCACGCTGTGGCTGAGGTTGAACTTCAGGGACTTTAGTGAACCACAGGGACAACAGCAAGTTGGAATTTGAGTTTTTTTTTTTAATGGAGTTATTTGTTTTTAGTACAGCGTCACAGATGATCAGGTACCGTGGTCTCACAGTGCCCACAAAGAGAGAACATTACCCTCGGGCAGACGTTGTAATAACACGCTTTGTCAGATATGGTTGTCCCAGGGTGCATTTAGTTTTTTCCGTAGTCAACTGTCCAGGTTAGAAGGAAGATCAGGAAAAGTGAGCTCATCACTCACACCACGTTTGATCTTACTGTAGTTTTTTATTTTAAATTTTATCTCCAAATTCACTTCAGTTGAACATTCTCTCTGTGAAAGACGTTAGAAAAAGGTCAAGTTCAGTCACCGTTCTTTTGATTATTCTGACATTGAGAGATAAAACAGATTCAATTTTAAATTAGATGGGACAGATTCGATTCACTGACTTTTTAAATGTTTTAATGGGCTGTCTCCTGTCCTGTGGCTCAGTCCTGACCTTAAGTATGCAAGAAAAAAAAACTGGTGTGAAATCCCATTCCAGACTGTCCTTAAAAAATCTCAGTCCATGACACTGATTGAAACGAGTTTCAGGGTCAAACACTCCCATTTTTTATTTACTGAACGAGTCGGTGTGAATTCAAATGAACATTTTACTGTCCTTTCAAATGATGAATTGAATTAAGAAGATAGAGCCCCCTGGTGGACATGTTCACAGCAGTCCAGGATTAATGAATTAAGCAGATAGAGTCCCCTGGTGGACATGTTCACAGCAGTCCCTCAGCCCCACTGACCCCCTGTTGTACCCCACCACCCCACAGTTTGGAAACCACTGCTTTAACTGCGAAAAACAATACTTGAACTTGAATTTCCTTCTCAAGGTTATTCAAGGGCATTTTTATTTAAACACAGTCGCATTCCATCAAAACTATAAATGTTTTAAATTGTATTGTGTTTGACTTTTTTCTGGCATTTTCTGACACTCTGCTGCAGCACATTTTATAGGATGTAAACTAAAACTCCTCTCTTCTCTGTTTCTCCTCCTGCAGTTCGACATGCAGACGATCACCCTGGAGGAGCTCAAACACATCTTGTTCTACGCCTTCCGGGACCAACTGACCATGAAGGACATAGAGAACATTATCATTACTGAAGAGGAGAGTCTAAAGGAAAACTCCGGGAACTGTCAGACAGAGTTTGAGGGAGGTGAGTCAAACAAAGCCAGTGTGTGTTGGTGGATGTTTTTTTTTATGACTGCAAATAAAAATATTTAATCAAGGCATTTTTGGAAGTATTGTTTTAATGTGTTATATATAACCCACAGTATAATAATAATATAAAAAAAATATTTTTTAATAACATAATTTTGACAAGTCTGGGGGGCTGAATTAAAAAGCCAAGCAGGCCGTATCTGGCCCCCGGGCCACAGTTTGCCCATTCCTGGTCCGGAAGGTTTTTTTCCTTGGTTGCCACATCTGTTCTCTGTTTTATTTAATTATTCTCTTATTAAACATTTAGTTAAATTAAAGTAACACATGGCGTTCTGTCAATGTGTTGTCCACGCAGCTCCATTTTCATTAACATATAAACAACAGGGCACTGTTGTAATGTTTGTTTTGTTCTTACTGAACAGATGCTCGCTGCTGTTGCTTAATTTTATGTTTTAGATAAACATCATCGTTCTCATTTACTCTTTTTTTGTCTCTTTTTAAATTCCTAACACGACCCTGTTCATGGTTTCTTTGTCTTGGTTGATTTTTTTTTTTTTTGTCCCTGTTTTCACCTTATGAGATGTGATTGGACACCTACGGGTGTTTGCTGTGTCAAAACAGATTCAATGTGCTGGTGTGTCATTTTAATTTAGAAGGTAATTACTTTGTTACGATTTCAAAATGAAACTGCAAATTAAATAAAAATATCTACTGATGATTTGACCGAACAAAACTCAAAATAACATATGCATTTTGTCTTTGGTAAAAACCAAACAAAAAAGAAATACACCCTTCACATCAGAGATGTCTCAACAGAACAGCGTGGTTCTGCATCACAGACAGTCTGCCAGATGAATTATCTCTGTGCCAGTTGTCAGTAATTGATGTTTCTGTCACAATTCCCAAGTGCAGTGAGCAATGTTCATCTCTAAACCTGAATTTATTCCATTTTTCTAGGAATGTTTTACACGGGTTACGAAGATGTGATTGTTGTCATTGTTGTAGTAGCTCTCCATTCTATACAAGGGAATTTCACAATATGTCATTGTTGTAGTAGCTCTCCATTCTTTGACCTGTGAAGCAGAAAGTCATTAGAGGGTCAGCGTTTTCACGCTAGACTTATATTCTCCTTTGGCCGGTAAGATGAGAATGAACACAGTAACAAGTTGTCAAAAGTAACAACTTAATCAAAGTTAGCATCTACTGCTAGCCTCTGCTCCAGGACTCATGTAATCAATCTCCCATGAAAGTTCATGGAACACCTGCTTTCTTGTTCTCTATTTCCTGTTGATTGATAACACCGCAGGGCTAACATAATCAACTCATGATTTCAGATTAAAAGTCGTCGTGATGGATGTGGACTCACATTCACAATTAGCTCTGCCGTGTTGTTACTCTGTTGCCGAGAGTGTGTTTTCTGCGTGTCCTTTACCCTCTCACACTGGCCTCTCACCGGCCTCACTCCGCTGCTGCGTTAGCCAATTAGCCAACCATCTGCACACACGAACATGACCTTTGGTCGGTGCAGAGCAGTGTCGGGGTTTAATAGTGTCACTTTATACACAACAAAAATGATGAAGCCTGATCAAAGTAATTAGACCTACAGAAAAAAAGACTGAATCAGGCGTGTTCAAAGTCTGGCCCGGGGGCCAATTGCGGCCTCTGCATCTTGAAGCTCTTGAGAAAAATTTACTGTACCGTAGCTCTGCTGCGGCGCCTGATTTTAATGTTAGAAGAACGTGAGAGGACTGAACTTTTTCACAAACGGCTTAGTGTTGATTGATGCTGCGTCAGTCAGGCAATTTAAATTCTAGAAATAATAAATATTAACACATTATTAGAGCAGAGACTCTTCGTGTATAGACTCACACACACAGGTACATGAGCTTTCACTTTGATGTGCAAATGTGCCGAGTTTCTGCTCCTCCAACTCTGTGTCCTTCCTCCTCCTCCTCCTCCTCCTCCTCCTCCCTCTGTGATACTGAATCACCTTCAGAATGACATAGCAGTTGTGTGTGTGTGTGTGTGTGTGTGTGTGTGTGTGTTTGCGTCAGTCTGTCTGTGTATTCTTGGGAGGTGGATTGGGTATGCGTGATCAGTGGCACAGTGTGACGTCAGGGTTTTTTTTTGTCACGTGGTGACAGAGCTGAGGCAGAGAGGTCTAACTCTACTCATGTTAAGGACACAGAGGTGACTGGCTACATTTGAAAAACTGGAAACCAGTGAGAAAATGTTGCTCATGTGGACTGAGGTCATTCCTAATCAGTCAGCTTCACACGTGGCTCTACATGTTTCGTGTGGTTTCACATATTTGTCAGAGCAAGTGGTGAAAAAAAAAAGAAAAACATGATGACGGGGCAGGAATGAGATCATGATGATGAATTTTTGACACCTGATGTGAGTCTGGATGCACTATTGAATTTTTCTGTCATTTAACCAAAAATTTAAAGAACATTTTTAATTTGCATTAAATATATATAAATATTTCACCTCACTCCCAATCCCCAGAAACCAATAGAGTAACAACATAATGCACAAATGTTACATCCAAACGAGTGCAAACGATCAATAGAGTAACAACATAATGTTACATCCAAACGAGTGCAAACGAAAGCTTTTTTGTACAAAAACAAGATCCGAAAATCCCAAAAATAACACACCAATGAAAAACATGCATCAATAAAAGCTAAACTTGTAACTTGTGACTGGATTTCTCATCTACTTTAGTGAAGAATGACCCATCAGAGTGATGTTTTATAGTTTTCTGTCCGTGCCTTTATGTTTTTGGTGTTTGTCTGTGTGACAAACACCGCTCGCTTCTGAAAGTGTCACATAAACAAAATAACCTGTGGGACTGAGGGTGGGTGCAGGTTGTGTCAGCAAGTTCTTTCATCACCAGTGATGGTAATGAAGTGTTGATGATGAAGCCAGCGGAGGGTCATTGTCCAGGTTCACACCTGTTCGCCCGAGGTCTACAAGTACCACCGGCTCCACAAAGGAGCACAAAATGTGCTCGGTCGATGAAAAATCAATATATTGTGTCAGAGTGAAATTCACACTGAGTACGATCCTTCATGCTGCTGCGCCACGTCGTGCTTCAGCTCTTTGATATACGAGATAGCATAATTGTAACTTGATTTTCCCTCCCGGCTTCACCTTGCTATGGAATCAATATATGGGGCTGAAAAATCACCGAGAACAGAATGAAACCCCTGATCCATTAGACTTCACCAGGCGTTGACTTATTGTTGAGCAAATTACAACGAGAGCCCGAAGCGCAGAGAAACACTTATCCAACATCCAGACGTTAGCCTGTGAATCGCCTTTGATTAGGAAACGGCTCCGCTGTAACCATTCATCTGGGACAACATTTGAGGCTAAAAACATGACGTGAGAATTCAGGCAGGACCTAAATACAGTGGTTCAAAGGTTCCTACAGCAGCAGCAGCTTCTACAGTCGGACCTCTCTTTTTTTTTAATCACTCTAAACCACATTTGTCTCTACATGGTTTTCTTATCATTTAGAATACGGAAATTCTTTGTTGAATTCTGACTGTTAACGTTGAGCCTTTTCTCTGACCTGCTGCATCCTGGTTATAACGTTGAGCCGTTTCTCTGACCTGCTGCATCCTGGTTATTCTGGATGAAAATCTCTTCAACACTGCCACCTACAGTTCAGTCCACCGTCCTCTATTATGAACGGTGTAACAAGCTTTATAATTCACCATTATAATAAGACCTGTTATTGTGGTGGAATAAAATAGACAGTGGGATCAGATTCATTGGTTTATTTTTCAGGACTATTTTGGGACTTGAGCAGAAGAGTAGACCACGGTCAGGCCTCAGACCACAGACAGAGACAGGCCATTACTTTCTGAACCAGAGGTTGAATTACACACAGTTCTAAACTGACAACTGACAAACTGCATGGAATTATTTGTGAAGAGAATGAGTCCAAACCAGGAGGTGAATCCATGACCTTGGTGTAAGACAAGAGCGCTGCCCCACAGTCAGACCATATTTGCTATTTAGAGCTGGGGTAAGTAAGTCGGTGAACGACTGCCTGGTGCTTTCAGATCGAATTTCCTTAATTCTCCTGTTGAAACCCTGCCTTCGAAACAGTGGAAGTTGATTCCTTTTGTGAAACTGCAAAGGTCTGGCTGACTTTTCTGGCCTGCTGTTCCATGAGTCATCCCCTGATCTCAAACTTTTGTCAAGAGTCACTCACTCTGACTTATGAATGCATAGAGTTTATTACTGTAGCTGTAGTTCTTCATGTCGGTCGTAATCTCCTGGCTTGGTTTCCTTCAGCTCTGACTGACAGAGATGTTTGTTGGTTTGAAACATTTTAACACTTAGTTGTTGTCTTTAGAAAAACAGGAACAGTAAGAGTTCATTCAGAGTTGCAGTACGAGTGTGTTCTTCTTGGACAACGATTTTGGCTGAAAATCATGACATGTTTCATATGACGTGAGTCTAAAATAGATTTCTACGAGAGCAGCCAACTAATGACAACTCTGCCAAAAAAGATGAAGCAACTCCTGGCCTACTTTCCCCTGTTTCATTTTCTTTGGAGCAGCACTTTTTGATGACTTCAGTGCTTCCTGAATTAAGCGTTAAAAATAGAACAGGCCGAGAGCCTCGTGGCTGCGGGTCAGTGCCCGGCTCCTGCTAATTGCCGACACCAGGTGAAATGATCTAAGGCAGCGTCAGCCTGCTGCAGAGTTAGTGGTTGGAGCTGGACATTGATTGAACCAGGAAATGATCTCAGAGTGAGAGGGATGTTGTTTGATTGTGTCTGTCAGCCTGGATCCCTGTGTCCTGTCATTTCCTCAGATTGTAAATGCCAATATTCATTTGTCCCATATTCTTTTTTTTACTTTATATGTTGTCAAGATGTTGGCTGTCCTCTTTTATTAACTTAATATGGCCCCATGAATGACCTCATCAGTTTGACTGAATCATCAAATATCTCTCAGTGACAGTCGTTAAGTGGCTTCAGAAAAATGCTCCTTTTAAATCCATCCATAAAACCAGGCAAAAAAAAAAGAAGAAGAAACAACACATGAAACGCTGTAGAATAATATCTCTCCGAGGACAGTGTCTGTTCCAGGGCTGTTGCCTTTTACTGCGTTAACTTAAATAAAGCGTACCCAATAAAGTGACAACTGTCACGCTGCTTAAAGAGATTGTTGCACCAGAGGTCAAAGTCAAATTAGATTGGCTCCACACTCTCAACGGTGCTCCTAGTGCTTAAAGTTTTGTTGAAGAAGAGTGATTGAAGGAGTTTTTAAAAGTTGAGGTGTGGCCTCGTTTTCAGTGTGTACTTTCTCAGCTGTTTGCATCCATGTGGAATCCTCACAGTTGTTGAGTTACTGAACAACACTTCTTGTTGTTAAATTCAAAGAATTTATCTGACCACAATTTATTTTCTTTCTATATACAAAGCTGTACAGCAGAGCGCGCCAACTTTTCTGTACAGACACATTGAGAGCCAGAGACAAAATGAAATGTAAAAATCTTACATAATATTTTCTCCTTTATCTTCAAAATTTTGGAATCCGGTAGCCGGTCGGATTCAATGGTTTGGTGGACCGGATTCAGCCCACGGGCCACCAGTTGATGATCACTTCACAGAAACTTTCAAATGTCCTTCCTTTTGTCTTTCCTTCTGTCTCGTTCAGTTCACCAGTCCAAGCAGAACCGACAGACGTGTGTGAGGAAGAGCCTCATCTGCGCCTTTGCCATGGCATTCATCATCAGCGTCATGCTCATCGCAGCCAATCAGATGCTGAGGAATGGCATGGAGTAGCCGTGTGCCACTGTGAGCGGGGGACCTGCCAGCCTGCATGTGCATGCCAGTGGGTGAGGTCAAAGGACTGCAAGCAGTGATGCTCCGATGTAATCAACCACTAAGCCCTATTTTAAAAAATAATATTTTTTATTTCTCCTCCTCCAAATGAGTCGACACCTCCTCCTGCCACCAGATGTCCAATAAAACTGTGAAGCCAGCATGAGGAGTCATGCGGGACTCCTCCCACTTTTCTCTGACAGGGACACTCAAGGGCTGACATTACACGTAACACTGCTGTTGTCTCTGTTTCCCTGATGCAATAAAAAGAAAATATTAGAATTGTTAGAAGAAAAACACAACGTCGAGTGCAGTAGTTCAGAGCTGCCAGCTTCTTCAGCAGGTTGTGACGTTCAACTCTGCCCATGTGTCACCCACCGACAGTCTGAGGAGCCACAGGAAACGGTTGCCCTCTCATTAGATCGTTCCTGAAAAGATGACGGCCAGGCTCACCGCCACTCAAGCTGAAGGATCTTTAAGCTCCAGGTCGCAGCTCCCGGAGATCTCGCTGTGCTACGATGCTTTAGCTCGCCAACTTTCTATTTTCAACTCCTGTGTGTGTGTGTGTGGGGGGGGGTTGGGGGGGGGGGGCAGTTCAGAGAAGGTTTAAGTTTCAGCTTGTGTTTGACTTAGCTGATGATAAGCAGACCAAGGGGATCTGTCGTTAATGTTGTTAGAAAGATACCAAAAACGTATTGTAGTAAAGAGAGGAAGGCTCCACTCTCCAGCTCTCTCCCTGTTTTAATATCCTCTGTAGAGCCCAGTGCACCAGGAGTTCATTATCAGGTTGATTTACTTCAAAATTTCAGTCCATTTCCTTCTCCTCGTTCGCCCTAAATGGCTGTGGACAACCGCTGAGCGCCTGTTCCACTCAGATGTGTCTTGGTGTTTAGGAGGAGCGAATAAGAACACGCGTACTGAGGTTTTCCACTTCAGAAAGCCTGAATTACACCTTTCTCACTAATTGAAGTTAATTTGATGAAAAGTGAAGGAGGCGAGGGCGTTAGGAGAGATGACAGCACAGAGTAAAAGATAAGACAGGAGAAGACATTACTGCAGTAACTCGTTTTGTTTATTGTTGTTGTTGTTGATGACACCAAAAAATATAATGTTGTTCTTTAGGTTCTTTGTTTATGTGTTTAATGATTAAACAGCTTTATCTCAAATTATTTTATACTGGGAAACAGACCAAGAAAGACCAAAACAAACGTCCAACATTTCCAGTAGCCCGTGTGCAGTACGACTTCACTGTCCACATTACAGTTGATTTCCCACAATGCCACTGAAACCCACATCTAAGAAACTTCTTGGTAGTTTTCCTGTGTTTTGCTAATGAAACCACTCGATCTGCTCAATCGTCCTTAAGTTTCAGCCTCTTAACGTTTTCTTCATTATCCACCAGACATTAGATCCACCTTAAAGCTTTAGAATTACTGTGTCTTATTACAGTAGGTGTAGACGGCGACAGGCCTCCATCCATACAATACAGTATTGTAAACAATACAGTAGCAGTACAACGCCGCAGTATTAGTGTTGCAGTGTCGTGCAGACCATTGTTTGACCATTCTTTTGCCTGAAAAACATTTTTAGGGAATTGTCAAACTGAAAATGTAATTTTCATAATTTTTTAGTAGATGTGCCGCCTTTATTAGGAGGTTTTTTTGTTTGTTTTTGTTTTGTGATTGATCGAAGCTGTTTCAACAGCCCTGAATAATGTCAGCGGTTGCCGGCCAGCTCTGAACTCCTGCACTTCATGGTCATGTTAACACGTCAAACCTGTGAGGGGTCTGACTCACCTTTTTATTTCCTGCATGCGGTCAAGTCTGTGTCTTCTGTAAATACTGTAACCTGCGTCTGAGGTGTCTCCAGTGTCTGTCAAAGGTGTACAGTGTCTCTCTCTGTGTGTGTGTGTGTGTGTGTGTGTGTGCATGACTGTTGGTGCTCTCTGTTCACGGGGGGTCAGAGGGGCAGGAAGGGAGCTCAGCTCAGCAGAGGAGGCTGCTCCACCACAAACACACCAGACACAGGCAGCGGCGAAGGCCCCTCTTCTGCTTCCTCTCAACCCTCTTTGCCAAAGCCATAGAACTCCAGAGGTGAACCAAACGATATGACACAGATGTTTTCCCTCCGTTCAGAACAACCCTGTTTAAACACGTCATCACACGACCGTTTGATTCACGGGCAGTTATGTTTTTAGTTGCGTCGAGTTTGCGTCGCCTCCGTTAACGTTAATGCACAGTAACTGTCATTCACTCCAATGAAACGACGAGAAGGCCTGTAAGTTTGAGCAACAGTGCCATCTAGAGGCCAAATGGGCTCACACTGTCTCGTGTTCCGGTCACTTTATAAGCACTAACAGGACTGCAGCATTACATTCTCGGTGTCTGGAAGTTCTTGATATTAAATGTTAAAGGTTTTAAAATTTTTATGTGAAACAAATATTTAAACGTATTTATAGGATATATAGACTTCTTGCTTGTGGCAGGAAAACCTTTTAAACCTGTCAGAGGTTTCATTCACAGATTGTTACGTTTTGGCGACAGACATTAGAAACACTATATCATCGGTTACATTTGTTTATCTTTTGTATTTAAAGGTTACACTGATTATAATTGATAATTTATGGACATGTCAAAACCACATTCATGGAAATCAACGTGGTTTTTTTTTCTTCACATTCAATATTAATTTCCTGTGTTTTTCAGGAGTGGAGTTGCAGTAACTGTGATGATAGTTTTACTGTGATCACACCTGCTGGACAATTTCAACCACTGAACCTTTACTTTAAAGGGAAAGTGCACAGTGTCTCTGTTGAATCCCTCACTTTAATTTGATTTGATTTAAATTTATCTTTGTATAAAGCTAAAAAAAAGAAAAGAAGCATATCTATATGACAAGCACATACTACACTGACTTTGCATGTGCAATATTTAAACTTGTAGACTAGAGGAAGAGATTGAGGTCAGTTATTTATTAGAGGCATCATAATTACAGAATTGTACATATGGATCTGTAAAGAATTAGCATTGATGCAATAAAACAGTGTTGTTGTTTCTTGTTTGTTTTGTTTTTTTCAAAGTGTCTATGTTTATTTCAGGGCTACAGAGGTTAGTGTCTTACAGCGCGGAGAACCACGGGTTGAACCACGGTGGGACTGATGGTCTTATCTAACTCTGGATGAAGTTTGCATGTGTGTGTGCATATGTTTTCTACAGACATGCAGATACTTGGGAACTCCAAAATAATCAAAGGTATGAAAAGAGCTACAACTGTTAACTGTTTTTTTGTTGGTTGTTTGTTTTTTACCTTGATTGGCTCCAGCTGCTCCATCCCCAGTTTTACATTGATATTTAAACTAGGGATGTCCAATATAGCATATTATGTAATATCTGTAGGAATCGTTATTGTGTTTTCCACCCAATAACGCAATGCCTGGGTTTCAAATAATGTGTCCTAAAAATAGTTTGGGGGATAACCGGGTGTATGTTGCAGTAAAAGTCACTAGATGGCAGCATTGAAGCTCATTTATTTAATCTCATACTCATCCAGTGCTTTGTACAGATAAATAAATCAATATTACCAGGACTATTTAAATATTGGTTGATATTGGAATCAGTAATTAAGTGTTGGACAATATCGGCTTATCGGAAAAAAGTTAATATCGGACATCCCTAATTTAAACCCATGTTATTTGAGTATATTTCTAGCATATGTTTGTGGAGGCAGCCTTAGTGGGGGAAGTAACATGTCCAAGTGTGTCAGACACACACACACATGCCCTTGAAGTGTGCAGAACACGTCTGCAGACTCATTGAGTTACTCTTGATAAGATCTTTGTAAGGTCAGAGTGGAATTTCAATGGTCAGTGTTGGGCTGCATTTCTATCAGACATAAACAGAAGGTCAACGCTGTTTCTAAAAAGCTGGGAAACTTCTGCAAACTTTTACTAAACAAAACATAAAAATGCATATTTATTCACCAGAATATTCGACCACATGCTGGGTTTATTTATCAGCCATCTCTACTGATCTCTGCATAATTTGACTCTGCATAAGATATTAATTATCTATGAACGACGCCCCATTTCCTCTATAATAACTTCTAAAGCCTTCAATTTTAAATGAGTATGAACATTTTTTTCACCAATTGTGTTTAAAATCTCTGAATTAAAAATACAAAACTTGGGAAATATGAGCACATATTTTGCTATCAGAGAACTATCATGAACACTACCACAGATGGCACAGTATTATATATTCAACTATATATGTGTGTGTGCATATATATATATATATATAGGTAATTAGCCACACCAAGTCTAAATACCAGGATTTCTCAGCAGTCAGAAGTGAAGTGAAGAAGTCTTTTAGATGAAGAGATAAAATAGAACCTACGACAGTTCAGCTGCCTCTTCCTACCTGTTTTGGATAACTGAGGAACCAAACAGAATATATATATAGTATCTTAAGAGTCTGTTTACAAGTTTGTTGTTTAGTCTCCTGAAATATCCATGCCTGTTTTTTGTGATTACCTCATCGAAGCAAATTCTATCAAAAATAACCTTTAAAAATGTCTTCACTGATGTTAAACCATTTGTCCCCAACTGTGAAACTGGTGGCAGGACAAGAATCTACTGGCAGGACTGTAGACCATGATTAAAATTTCTTCCGTGATGGTCTTTGTTAAAGTCAGCCGCCGCAGCAGCCGTCGGAGTTGTTAGCATGCAGGTCTGTTTTCTGCAGCCACACCATCCTCTCGGTCTCTTCACTAAAAACAAGCCCTTGTGCTCACAGCAGGCTCCTCCTGTTTCATTAACATCTGAAATTCTTTTTTTTTTTTTTTTTTTTTTTTTTGCTGAGGAGCTTAAGAGGAAGGAAACAGCGGGGGTCCAGTACCTGCTTCAAAGACGTGTTGCAGAGGATTCAGAGTTTCCACAGAATTCCATCCCTAACTTCTCATATACAGTAAAAGAGCGTGTTTTGGAAGTAGGGCTTCCATGGGCATTGCTGTGTAATAGTTTATTAAAAAAGCCTTTAAAAAAGGGGAAATGTTTAACTATTCATAAGCTGCACTGGGCTTTGATTTCCCAACACGCTGGTGCACAGCATCCATAATCCATTACACAGGACTGTTGCAGAATCTATACGAAGGTGAAATGTCTTTAAAAAGACAAGGCTATTAAAATTGCAGTAAACTTCATAAAGTAAATCAATTGTTTTTTAATTTGGGGAGAAATTGTAGTTTATAGTGAAATTAAATGCAAAAAGCAGGAACTCAGTTTGTTTATTGGAAGACAATGTTTCAACCATAAAGTTCCATTGGCTCAGATTGAAGTTGATGACATCAGATATTTCCATTCTGGTCTCAAAGGCCAAACAGTCCCACAATAAATTTCTTCGCTGGTTTTCTTACCGTCTGCTCACAGACAAACCGTTTTATTATGTAAGGTTATCAGCCAAAGTTATGGCACCCACACCCTCACCTTTAACCTTTTACCCATGTGTGTACAAAACTTGCGTCATGCTACAGGATGTTTTGCCTTTTGAAGACAACATGATGAATGTTAAAAAAAAGAAAGAAATAATAACTTGCTCTCAGGAGGCATTGCTGCAGTTTCAATTAATTTTCTAAAAAAAAAAAAAAATCCAGTATTTTTCTAGTTATAAATATCTACAGGATCTCAGCTTTTGTAAGAAAAAATATATTTATTTTCCGGGCACTCACAATGACTCTATGCCTTGCATGAACTGGCAGTTTTAAATGTTTCTCTCTTCTACATTTAAGTTTAAAGCAAAATTACTGAGAGTTTAAGTTAAATTTCTCCATTTTTTTTACAAGATAATACAAATAAAAATATATGTTGATGAAATAAATTGTAGAAGAGTTGAGTTTTGGCTCATAAACCTCAATCCTTTAAGGTACACCGTAAGATTTAAAAAAAAAAGGCATTTAATTTTAATTAACAAAAGGGAAATAATTCAAATGCCTTTTAAGTTTTAATAACTGAATAATTTTGTTTTTTCTCCTCTATGATTCAGAGAATACGACGACGTCGGGGATATTACACATGTTGCCTTACAGCACACAGTGTACCTTGACAACATTGTAGAACACACAGCAGTTATGGCAACGTCACAATAAAGTGTCAATATCAGATGGATAAAATAAAAAATATCTCATGCAAAACTTGCATTTTTTTTTTGAATATCAATTTGTAGAAAAAAGTTTCAGTGCTGAGATGTTCACAACTCGAACTTCTTACAAATCGTTGGTCTTCTTTGAGAAGATGTGCAGCAACTGCTTCAGCCGCTCCGGCGCCGTGTGGCTGAAGTCCGGCGCGGTGGCAGCTCCGGCCTCACTGGTCCATGTCGAGCCGCTCAGACGACTACTGCATCATGGTGTTCTTAATGGTCCACTTCTGCCCCGAGCAGGGCTGCAGGACCAGCAGGTGGCCGAAGTAAACGTTGGCCGGCACCACTTCCAGGCAGCGTCCGGTGGCTCGGTTGATGAAGGACTCGTTCTGAAGGGGAAGTGAGAGAAAGGGTTCAAGTCAACTGGTGAATGTTGTGTTGTAATTTTTAACCCTTGTTTACCCATGGATAAATAGCAAGTGAACGTGAAAGTGAACTACTTGTCATCGTGACACTGCACACAACCAAATGTGACCTCTGTTTTTAACCCATCTCCAAAAGATCACAGATGGCAGGTCATACTCCTCCGCTCTGTTCATACCTGGGAGAAATGCCAGGACTTTTGCCTCATGTTGGTAATCTTCTCACAGTTGAGGAGCTGAGGAAAGCTGTTGACCTGGTCGTCCACCACACAGCGGGTGTCTTCGCCCGTGCTGCCGAGAGGACCCAGGAACAGCTGTCCTTCTTTGGTGTAACGTCCTAGCTAAGAAGACATCACAGGTTTAACAAATTATTATTATTCATATGAGGAAACGTAAAAATGTAAGTGTAAAGATGTTCGATATTAACTTTTGGCCGATATTCCGATATTGTCTAAAGACTTAATTTCCAATATTGACCGTAACAGATATAGGCCTGGTAAAGATTAGGATAGATTAATGAAATGAGCTTCAATGCTGCCATCTAGTGTCTTTCACTTTCATATACAGCCGTTTATTCCCAAAAGTATTTCTAGGCGACACATAATTTGGTGAAAACCCACGTATTGTGTTATCGGGTTATGGTAATAAAAACAGATAACAATTCCTACAGATATTATATAATTATGCTAATATCAGACAGGGCTACTAAAATCAATCCAAAATTTCAAGTTAAACTCTCTGATATTTTTTTTCTGTATTAATAATTCCATTACCTGGATTGGTCACAATCAAGAACAGCCGTGCAAAACATCCATCTACCATCTAATTCATTGCGATTACTCACGATTAATCCACAGTTGTGAATGACAAATATTGACAGACCCTTATAATGGTATATAATGTGTGTGTATGAGAGAGACATCTTTTTCCTTCTTCTTCCTCTTCAGTTTGGTATTTTATACGAGGCTCTGTTGGCTTATAGCGTTTTACTGCTGGAGTCAGGATGTTCCTCTCAGGCTCCTGTTTACCACAGTGAGTATGAATTAGGTGTCCTGCGGGGCCGAGGAGCCGACAACCGCTGACTCAGGACTTCAGAGGAGCATACTAACATTTCCAGCCTGACAGCAGAGCTGCCTCCAAAGAGAATTTCGGCCGGGCATATGTGAGAAAGATGGCCGTACGTCACATCACGTCACGGTGAAACATAGTCATGACTTGTGTTTGTGTTTTTGTGAAAGAGTGCAGGCTGTGATGGCAGATGGCAGCGTCCATGTTCCTACCTGTGGACCCCAGCCATGACAGGGGTGCAGGGTGGCCGTGTGGTTTTCCCTCACACCCTGGTCCATACACAGATGGCTGGCCGCTGAATTTCGAATCTGAAGAAAACAGTGGTGAAAAACACTAACGTAAAAAACTATAAATATATTAACCCTTTATGAACCCTTTACAAGGCATCGTAGGGCGTTAAATGTGTCACACAAATTTCACAAATCTCGTTGACGTACGTACAGGTTATTTCTTGCAATACCCAGTATGTATGTGTTACAAAATGTTTATATTTGTACTATTTTTTGTACTTTTTCAATCTTCATCATAATGAAAATATATTGGAAATATATTTCTTCTCAGGCTAGAGAATGCTTTTTTAATCTTTAATCATAATGAAAATATATTGGAAATATAATTTTTTTATATACTGCAAAAATCCATGATAGAGTGAAAAATCCACAATACAAGAATACATTTAAAATTTTAAAAACTGCGATGCACTGAGGGCTTATGTATATACATGTATGTATCCATATATACAGTATATACATATATAAATATATATATATAGTACATATGTATTAAAATCTGAATGAGACATGTATTTACCACAATCCAGAAGTTCTGAATATATATTTTATATATTTCTTTCTGATTTTAGCAGCATGGATCCATCGACACGTCGGCCTGAGTGACCACTCACCTCTCCGTAGAAGAGCGTGTTGTTGTACCTCCTCATCTCCGGGTAAACATTGTCCAGGTACCACTCGAAGCTCTTGCACTGCAGACTGTTCCTCAGAGTGACCCGCTGAGAGATGTCTCCGTAGTCAATACCGTGGTTCTGCGTGGAGCGGAGAAAACAACGAGTACATGAGTCCTTCCTTCTTCTTCTACAGAACAAGGTGAATATTATTAGAGAAACATTTACAGGTTTTGCATCTGAAAACAATTTAAATGGTTTGACTTTATGCAGTGTAGTTATTTGGAGTCTTAACAATAACTCAAGTACTGGAAAATGACAATACCTCCTTTTTAGGAGTAGTTTTTATCATCTGAAAACGCAATTAAAATGATGGATTGAATGCAGCTGAGCTGTGTTTTCACTGGCTGACTTCAAACCGTTTTCAATTCTGCTAAACTTTGTCAAATAATCAAAGCATAAAGTTAGATTTAATATTTTTGTATCTATTTTGTTTTACTAACATTCTGTTCAATTCCACTTTTAGGTGAGTCATTCTTATGAAGTGTTTGGGCAATTTTGTCAGCAGTCACCTTGGAATAAAGAATAAAACAGAAAATGAACATCGTTGTTCATTTTTATTGCAGAATTGATTGGAAGTTGTTATCGAAGCTTTAATGAAGCTCCGGGGCGCAGCTCTTACAGAGAGCAACACAAGCACTTGTCTGTACAAGAGCGCCCGTTTGCAAGCTAGTGCGTGTTACAATTGTAGTGTGCTGGACACATGAGTGTGTGCGTTCAAGAACATGAGTGGGAGCCAGTTGTTCAGAACCATCTCCACCTGTGGGATTATCAGGCCTCACAGAAACTCAGAAACAGGAAGCATGTGCATACAATGATCAAGGTCTTAGAGGAACCTTGAGACACCCTCTGACCTCCATCGGTATGTTCCAGGCCAGGTAGACGTTAGATTTGTAGTCGTCCATCCAAACCTCAGCCACCCGTAGAGCGTTGCGCCTCGTGTGGAAGGCGATGTTACTGTGGTAGGGTTTTTTCACCCTGGCTATGTGAGCCACTCTGGAACAAGGCAGCACCTCCATGCTGCCGCCGCACAGCCACACCTTCAGGGACGTGTGAAACAGAAGAGAGAAGAAAATGAGGACGTTTTTTTTTTAGCTCCACACAAACACAGCATGGGTGTAGTCTAACATCTGACAGACAAGCACTTCCTGTCTACAAATTCTTCTGCTCCCATCAGTCAGAATTTATTTAAAGTTAAGGTTCATTATGAGACCAAAAACAACTGTCATTTACGTAATCAAAATAAAACCATATGTGATGAGACCAAAAACAACTTCTGTCATTTATGTAATCAAAATAAAACCATATGTGAATACACAGGCTAACACGCAAACCGTAAGGCACAGGAACAATAACATGTAATGTCATTTATAATGAGTTGTTTAGTTGAAAACAACTCTGATATAGTGGCAGGAATTGAAGAAAGACACTCACAAAGCTCTTCTTCAACAGCTCTGATTCTCAATTTTTTATTTTTTTTTTTTTTGCCGTTTGCCTACTGTGCTCTTGCTTATCAAGCCAGATTTTTTTCTACTGTTGAATATACTTTTATGCTCAATAAGTTATATTTCAACAGCTTACTGCCATCATTTAGCAGCTAATGTATAGTTGCTTAATCTGTTTTATTTCAGCCATTAAAAATGTATTTAAAAATCTTATTTAAATTAATTTAGAGAAAATAAACATAATTAGAAAAGAAGAATTTCTCACATTCAGGATTAATTCATTCAGGAAAAATTCACAGCTAGGGCGTAGCTTAATAAAGATATTTAGCACACATCAGATTATGCTGTAAGACCAGCAGTCCTCAGTTCTCCAGGATGATTCCTCATAGAAAACCCTCCACACCGTAATGGAAACTATCCAGTCACTGAGTTTCCCGTTCCTTCCTACTCTGCGACCTATTTCTCACCACCGTCCTGCTGCAGGCAGCCCACACAGGACAGGTCCGGCAGAACCGGTAATGGTACCTCATTCATCAGAGGTGTCACTGTTCGGTGGCTACTGCTCCACTTACTAAACCTACAGGAGTGTAGAGGGAGCACACAAACCCTGATGCCCAGTTCGATGTTCTCCCCGCCGTAGACGTCCATGCCGGAGTCCAGCAGGCCAAGCTCGCCAAAGTAGCCGCGGTTGACCACGAAGGAGCAGCCGATCATGGCGGGGGTTCTGATATAAGCAAAATAGAAACAAAACAAAAAAAAACTGATCACTGGAACGGTGGCAGGAAACGGAGGCAAAGGAAGACCAGGGACCAGAGTCTTGGACAACATCAGGGAAACGTGGTCTATCGACCGTGGAGCTCCTCAGAACAGTGGAGAACCATGGTGAGAGTGTCCAGTCTCCAAGTTATTACTAACACAATGTTTGACAATAATGTGGAAAATATATCTACATATATTTATATACAACCTGCACATACTGCATGTACTGTATATATTTCACTCTGCTGCTATTAATAATTTATATATACTTTACACTTACTGCACTGTTTGTACTCAGCAATTAGAAAATGAATCTGTTTTATATATTTATATATTTTCTACATATACTGCATATTCATATAATCTGCATACACTCTGCATATACTATATGAATCTGTTTTATATATTTATATATAATCTGCATACACTCTGCATATACTTTGCATCTACTCAACCGACGACAACTGTGAACTTACTTCTAAAACTAGTGTTGTTAATACATAAATATGTATTTAGATGATATATATCTTCAAATGATTTTTAATATTTTTTGGTATTTGTGGTTGTGTATTTGAGGAGGATATGATGGCGTACCTGATGGGAGCCGTCATGTCGCCGTCGTCCCACCACTGTTTGGGCGGGTTGATGTACATGCACCACAGCTCCCAGTTGTAGCCGTGGCCCGAGTTCTCGTAGCGCTCCACCTCAAAGGTGTCGTGTTTGATGTTGTCGATGGACGGCAAGATGATCCTCTTATGGTCTTCTTTTATTCTGGCCAGTACCGGCTCAGCCCTGATACAAACACACACACGTAAATGAGAGTATAGAGTTCATACCAAAACAACAACATGGCGTCCCTCTCCACAGTCTCACTCTCTCTTCAGTCAGGTTGTCCCAACTATATTTCTGATTCTACCTTCATCCAGAGCACTGCAGCTCTGGAGACCACGTTTCTATTTATGCTGAGTGGACTGGGCTGTGTACATACACCAGAGTACACACTGGGCCAGAACATAAACACAGAGGTGTCGGTTAAATGTCTCCCAGACATCAGCATCATTTTTCACACAGTTCTTAAATCATAGTTTGTTTGGTTTTTTAAACACGTTTCCATGCAGGTTCTTTTCTGCTTCTCTGGTTTGTTTTAATGTCCCACAGTGTCTTTCAATTCTCTTTCTACAGACCCTGCCCCCCCCTTCACCCCCTCCTTTCCTTATCTTTAAACTTGCCATGTGTGAAATTGCCTTGTGTTTTTTGCTGCTTCTGCGATCCTTCACTCTCTTGTTCACCTCGCTCGATGTGATGCTGTTCAAGTTTCTTTAGAACGTTCCAGTAGAAATGTATATTGTTATTATTACTGCTGCTGCTGCTATTGTGGCTTGTACTTAAGGGAGGTCAACATTATCCTTTTATGGAAATACTGTCTTCCTCTGTTTATAAATAGAGGTTGGTTTTGTCTAGTGTGAAACTGCTTCCACTGAATTCAAACATTAGAACTTTTTTGGTTGTTGGAACTGCAGAAAACCTCTTTTTAAAAAGATGATGAAAAAACAACAGATTTTCATTGTTTCTGTGTCTAATGTGAAAATATGAAAACAACAAAATGTGCCTACTGTATTTTCCGGACCAGTCGCACCAGCCAACAAATGCATCATGAAGAAAAAAGTCGCATCAGTGCCCTCTAGTGGCTGTCAGTGTGAAAATAAACGTGAAATTATATATTTCAATTTATAAGTTGCACCTGAGTATAAGTCGAAAACCCAGCCAAAAGGTGGGAAAAAAGTGCAATTTATAATCTGGAAAATATGGTATTGCAATTTATAATCTGGAAAATACGGTACAAAGTACAATTTATAATCTGGAAAATACGGTACATTTAATCAATCTTGTGTTGAGCAAAGTAAATAATCTTATCTGTATACATATTTCCTTGATACAAGGAAATTCCCCTTCTTATTTACAGTATTTCCCTTTAAGCAGTGAAGCGTTTCCTGTCTACAGTTGAACAGATATAACTTAAGCAGAATCTATACCATGACCCAGGTGTTAACAATCATCTGGTCCACAGATCAAACCTGTCTTACCACGCTGGTGTAAACTCCACATGGGCGTCGAAAAAACCCGTGACCTCGGCCGTGGCGACTTTCCAACCTTCGATTCTGGCTCGGATCAGTCCCTCTCTCCTCTGGTTCCTGACAATTTTCACTAAGCCAGGGTAGCGCTTGTTCACGTACTCCTCCAGGGGGGCTTTCAGCTGCTCTACAGTGCGTAAAAATAACTTCAGGTTAAGGTCAAATAGAGGAAAAAAAACTTATATCGGAGACCACGAAGTCACGCTGCACAGACGTGACCTTGAACCACGTTGTAAAACGGCAGGTTCCAGGTTTACAGCATCGTGGCGGACCCTAACCCCGTGAACTTCTCCAGGCAGGTAATTTGAAGTGTCATATTTTATGTCTGTGCCAGGACTACAATTTAAAAGCTGATCAATCAATGTGGCAGCTCGGCTATTTCAGAATTTCATAAAAGTGATTTACATCTGTGAAAAATCATGGTGTGGACGTCAGAGAAGTTCGTCCACTCACTTTTTTATTTTGCTGTTTAAAAAAAACAGTTATAAAACTGTGGTCCTGGATCGACGCCGTGCAGCTACACCATAAATCACGAGCTTTACACAATTGAATTGAAGGGATAAGGTACGACTTTATTGGAAGACTGAAAGACATTCAATAAACTCCCTCGCTGTTGAGCTGAAAAATGTCTTCCCGGTAAATTATTCATACTTCAAAATAAAAATTAGCATCACTAAGAAGCAGATGCTTTTAATTGCAATCAGGACGTTTTTTTATTAATCCGTGTGGAAATAAATGATTTTACTGGGTTGTTATGTGGGTTATAACTATTTCAGTATAAGAATATAAATTTAATGAGTGATTCATGTTCTTAAAGAGAAAAGACAAATCCATCTTTCAGAAACTAAATCACATTCATTTCACTGAAGGCAACAGAACAACATTCGTTATAAAGACCAGATTCAAACCAGGGAAAAATCTGACACCAGGTGGAACAACGTTTTGTTTTGTGTTGTGTTCTCTCGACCTCTTTGTGCTTTTTAACCCTAACCACAGACTCAACAACACCAAGCAGAGAGTGAGCAGTTTCCTGGGCGTCTACAACGGCACCAAAATCACTCAATCAACAGCATCATCAACCGTTTCCCCCCTGGACAACAACATCCACCATCCTTCTTCCTCATCGTCGCCAGCACAGACTGAAAAAAAATCCCCCAAGACAAAAGATATTCCCCCAACTCTCTCTTTGCTGTTTATCTCCCCCTCTCTCTCTCACACACACACACACAAACACACAAACACAAACTAGAATCTTATTCCCCGTGCTGCCTGTGGTTTGTCTCTCTCTTAAACTCACACATCTCATAGTGAGGAATCTCACGCAGGGAGTGAGAGCAGTGATTGTTTTTTTGCCTACATGTCTATAGCCGGCTCACAGCCAGGCATCAGGGCAGAGTGATAAGTGCAGAGACAGCATGAGATTCTACCTCTCTCTACCTCTCTCTCTCTCTCTACCTCTCTTCAGCTCAGCCCTCCAGTGTTCCAGACACTTTAGAGGTGACGCTGTACAAACCTGATGTGTTGGTGTAGCCTGGAGCGGCTAACACAGAGTGATGAGGGGAGAGAACTACTGAGCGTGTATAGTCATGGCTGATGCTGTTCTGCTGACCTCCGTTTCTAAAGTGGAACGTCTCACTAGAAAGGCTTGATCGTCGTGTCGCGTCTCGTCATTTTATATTTTGGGACAACAGTTCGTTTTTTATCTTGTGGGGAAATGAACGTCAGATAAATGGGTTAAAAACTAGGGATGCTAGGGTTGTCCAAACACTTAATTTCCAATTCTGATATCATCAGATAAATGGGTTAAAAAATAGGGATGTCCAATATTGTCCAAACACTTAATTTCCAATTCTGATATTAACACATACCTGATGTGAGATTAATTAAACGAGCGGCAATGCTGCCATCTGGTGAGTTTCAATTTCATTACAGTTGTTTTTCCCCATAACACGTCATTTGGCAAAACACAGGCATTGCGTTACAGTTTTCATTATTGGAGGAAAAAACTATAACGATTCTTACAGATGTTACATAATATGCTAATGTCGGGCCAATCTGACATCTCCATTAAAAACTATTAGTCGTTACAATAAGAGGAAAACATGCTAAGAGCACAGGTTTTTTAATGGGACTTTTTTACCACCAAATTAGCTATCTTTCTAGTTAGATCATTTTCTCCCGCTGTCTCTTTCTTTCCATCTATTCCTCTGTCCTAATTTTTCACCATCAAGGATTGACACCTTTTTCCGTTTAATCGTGTTTAATCTTTCCTTTTTTTGAATTACCCTGCTGGCCTGTTTCATCTTTCTCTCTCCTTGTCTCTTCATCTGCAACCTTCTTGGCAAGGCTTCCCAATAAATAAGACGGGGACGTTGCTGCTGCGACAGCCAATTCAAGCGCTCCACCTCTATCTGTCTGCCCTGCAAAAACTCAGCGCCACCAGTCACCTCTACAACGGCTACTCCTCACAACCAATGACCACGGCTCCAGGGACTGACAAAGGTGCTTCACGCCGTTAAACTGTCGCAGAATAATGGCCAAAACGTGTGTGTGTGTTTGAATTACCAGTCTTTGTGCTGAGGAGATTATTCTGTCAATCACTGCATGATAAAAATCTGAAGTGAATTATACAATAAGGTCAGGACTGTGACTCCGTTGAGAGCGACTTATTTATTTATGAGCCATTTTCACGTTCAGATCACACAGGCTTCCCTCCAAAAAAAAGGGGGGAAATTTCACAGAGTCTTTGACTGTGTTTGGGCTAAAGTTCAGGAAGAGGAAGTAGGAGGACCGACGTTGTCCCTAATTAGCCAAAAGACTCAGGGACATATCAAAGTTAGGCAACTGGACAACTTTTTCCAACATAAAATGATAAGAAAAACAGGTTGAATTACAACTAGATGGGCTAATGCATTGGGTTATACAACAGATGGCTTTTTTTTTCAAAACTTCACTGTAATGTATTTGTAACACTGTACTACCTACAAAACTGCTATTCTCTTTAAAAAATTAAAAAATAAATTACTACGCAGTATTTTATACCTACTGGAGAATGGAGAATACATTTTTCTTGCTGAACCACGCCAATAGATCCACGCTCCCTAACTTTGGGAACGACCAGTGTGATATATTTTTGTAATTAATAATTCATTTTAATGTAGCTAATTTGTTGTCAGATGCTCCGTGTGCTGCTGATGTCAGTGTCTCTATCTAAAGGACGTGTTTTCCTCTTGACTCACCGTCATCGCTGTTGTCGTCCACCAGGATGATTTCCTTCAGCAGGTGAGCCGGCGTGTGATTGACGGCCGAGTGGACCGAGCGCAGGATCACAGACAGGGCCTCGTTGACGAAGATGAAAATCAGGGAAATCTGTGGGAGGTCTCTGGGGTAGCTGACCTTTCGACATCTGCGGACACACACACACACACACCGCATGATCTGTAAGGTGAAACCATTGTACGTCCACCTCTAGGTGTTAAAGTGTCCTCAGTCAGTGTTATTAAGAAGCGTCTCCACAGAGGTGCTGACATCTTGTTCCACTTTCTGCCTCCTGTTTGACTAAATTCACATTGATCCCTTTTTTTCCCCGTATCCCCAAATTGGTCTCGTCACACTGTGTCTAGTGCAAATAGGAGTCCTATTTTTACTGCTGCTCTGTTGAAACAGCTCTGATGAGGAGGAAAATGCAGGTTGTTTTGGCTGCGTGTTCAGTTGAAGTGTGTGAGAGAACACACGCTGCCACACTCCTCTCATTTCCTTGTACTCGTAATCCTATTCCCAGGTGAAGTCAAATATTAATCACAAAACTTTGTAATGAACGCAGCGTGAAAAGGCATACGATTTAATTATATTTGTTCAGGTTCATGGGCAGAAACAAAGGTCAGGGTTTCTTTGAGGGGATTAGAACATGGGGAACAGTCGGATCATAACAGCTACACCTCACTTTGACAATAACAAACAGGCTCAGCTGCTTCACAGGAATTAAACATGGCATTTAATTCCACAATATATCCAGATTATAATTATCTAGACCTAAAACCAATCTGGTTCTGATCGAGCGCAATAGACTTTTCTTTTTTATAAATACAGGCTGTCTTGGAACTTTCTGACCTACTCATACTGTAAGTTTAAAAACCCCTTAACAGTTTCACTGTCACATATTGATATTGTGGTCGTTAATTATTTAATGCTACGACTGTGCCCCTGCTACAGTACATTCTACTGCAGGTAATGTTCTTCAAGGTTCTCCAAACTGCAGAAAAAAAAAAAGTTACAATTTAAAACAGTGAAAGAGTCTGTGAAATAATGATACATTAATCCAACCAGCACTGCTAATGTCAAAATACTCAGTGTTGCCTAAATAAATAACTATACAGTGTTCCCTCTCCTATCACAATAGTTGCGTTTCAAGACCCACCACGAAATGGGAAAAATCGTAGAAAAAAAACGTGAAAAAAAGTAGAGGCGAGATAGTTATTACCTTATTTACATATTTACTCTTTATGAACTTCCCCCACATTGTTATCCTTATTTACATATATATATTTACTCTTTACGAACTTCCCCCACATTGTTATCAACCCTCCCTGGACTGCGTTACCCTTTCCCACACAATTATATGCAGAGTAGAGTGGCCACACAGAGCCAATCAGTGTGAGGAACAGAAGAGAGAGACAGTACAATAGTACTAGTAGTACGAGAGCTATGCGCCTATCTCAATTCCAAAACGAAAATCCACAGCTATGCGCTTATCTCAATTCCAAAACGAAAATCCACATTTTTAAAGCCAAAACTTTTGTATGTATAATTATTTTATAATATCTTTTTGGTTTATAATTTTTGCGAGATCAAGGATGTACTGTGTATACTTTTGGAGCTTGATGGAGAAGACAGGTGACGCCACCGTATGAGCCGGAGGCAGAAACGGTGAAGATGACTGGCTGCAGCAGCAGTCTGAGGCAGATACTTAGAGCAGAGCAGCATGAATGAGTGGGAGTGTGAGTGTGTGAACTTGTCACATCACAAGTACAAAGTGATTGGCTCATGTGAGCATGGATCCCACAGTGATTCCTCTCATCAGCTGGTGACACTGTAACACTAGTGCTTCTGTTATCAGCCCATGTTTAATAAGATGATCATAAGAACTCATCTCTGACACTCTCCATTAGAAACAACACCTTCACCGCACACGTCTTTGTACAACTTGGGATTTAACATTTTGATCTCTGCGTCTTTTTATCTGACTCTCGTTCTCTTTGCTGCCTCCTCTGGGTTTGATGTTCCAAAGGGACTTTCATCCTGGGTAGACTCCCCGGTCGTCCTCACAGGCAGCAAAGTTTGCTCCAATCAGACACATAGCAACAAGATTTGTGACAGGCGATATCATTCTTTTGTTAACAAAGAAAAAGGTTAAACCCTTCGCGCTTCTCTCTTCTCCCTCCACCTACTCCTGAGCTGAGAAGCTGAGAAAGCGCGGTGTCGCGTTTCGATGTTACGCCGACGACTACATATTGTATGTATTATGTAAGTATGTCTTTCTGGATAAAGGACCAAGATAGAGCGAGGTGGAGGTGGACTGACCACTGTCTACTTCAGACTTTTCTACACTGTGTTAATATTAGATGCCCATTATTCAAGTACATCAGTAAATATATTTATTAAACACACACAAAGTGTGTGTTTGTGTATGTGTGTGGAAGGGTAATTAGAGTCAGCTTGTTCCAGAGGGGACACATCTTTGTCCTTTGCTGAAAAAAAGTGTGTCCTCAGGTTTGTGATTACGGTCACAGGAAAGTAGTGCATACCTACATTTGGGTGTCGTGTTGTGTATGTGGTCCACATACACAATGATACACACTTAAATTTAGAAAGGTTGTCAGGACATAAGGCTGCGTCCTTTAGAGTTAGTGTTAAGGTACGTGTTGGAGGAACTCTTAAGGAAATTAATGCCCGTCTGTAAAGTTGAGAAGAGTGACCTGAAGCTGTGTGTGTCCCACACACTCAGCTCTGTTGGATTTTACAGCCCTGCATATGAACAGAATGACTGAAATAAACAGGTGACTTGGAATTTGTGTAGCAACGGCTAAAGAATTGGTTCCAGCTTGTTTGATATTTTCTTCATTTGGCAGAAGTTGTCTTTTTTTTAAAGAAAATGAAGCTGTAGAGGATGAATCCACCGAGTACGGCAGCTGTGGTGAGGACCTTCAGGAGTAACGATTCAGTGTTAGCAGATAAATAAGTCAAATGGAACAGGAGCTTTGGAAAACTACAACCTTGTTGATGAAAAGTGTTTTAGAAATGTAATTCTGATCCTAACTTAAAAAAACCCACAAATATTCTATACAGACTGTGAGTACTTCCAAAAACTTGAGAAACTTGTACTGCAGTTTTTGCGGCATTTAGATTTCCACATGGACATTAATTTATTGGATCGTTACAAGATCCTTTCAAAAGACCCTTTAAAATAATATAATAATATGCATGTGTATATAAAGCACCAGTGAATGACTCTTACTTGCTGGGCCGGTGGTCTGGTATGGTCCGGTCCAGAGAGATCCTGTCGCTGAGGTAGGCGTTGTAGCCGTACTTCTCTCTAAGGTTTTTGGCTTCGTTTTCCTCAGCCGGAGACAGCGTGGCAGGGACGCCGCCTTTTCCCCGGCCACCGTAGCCCTCAATCAAGCCCAAAGATTTGGACAGACCTTGGTGAGGCAAAACAGGCAAGATTAGCCGTCAGGATCTTCAGGTCCACCTTAATAACACGTGGTGTGGTTTGACAGCCAGAGGCGGTTGTCAGAGTCTTGTTAAATAAACGCCTACGGTACACTCATCATATCTGCACACATCTGTGTAATCAGAGGTGGAAATACACATTTAATGACACGTTTGAAAACGGCATTCTGTTTAAAAGCCCAATGGAGCTCGAAGGCTTTTCATTCATTCATCTTCTACAGATCAATTCATCCTTTTTAGGGGTCAACGGGGGCTGCAGTCAACCCCAGCAGCCACCGAGCAAGGACGAGATACAGCCTGGTTAGTTCACCAGTCCATCATGAGACAAACAATGACTCAAACTCATATTTGAGGCTAATTTAGATTAATTTACATAATAATCCAATCTGCATAATTTAAGACTGTGTGAGGAAGATGGAGTTCATTCAAAAAGACCATCAGCTACCACTGGTATCAAACTGGTGATTTTCTCGCTGTAAGGCAAGTGTACTAACCACTACCACCACCTACTGAAGTTGAATGGCAAAGTGGTGGCACGAACTGAAATTAGCTTCTATGTTGGCAAACGTCCTGCTTCAGTGTTCTGAACCTGACCTTTGACTGTTCCTTAAAACAAAATTTTTCACTTTTGTTCTTAATCTGAGGTTATGCACTTGATCAGTAAATAAATAAATTGATGTAATTCATATTATAATTATTCACCAGTCTGATCTGAAGATCTGAATTAAATACTGCCTAAACGAGTTACTGCAGATCTTAAGTCCAACAGCAAACCTAGCACTGACTTCACCCTGCGTTCGATTCCCATCAGGATATACTGTTGACGTTGACCACTCCAAATGTCCCGCTGCACTTTACCGTTCAGCTGCCGGTACACCACGTCCCCCAGGGA